GGCTGCGATCTCGTCCTTCAATGCATCAGAAAGACCCTGAGAAAACATAGCCACCAGAGCCTCATTGTTCCAACCCACCTCTGCTGCCAGGGTACGAAACTCTATGGCGTACTCGGCAACGGTCCGTGAACCCTGATGCATAGACATGAGCAGCTTGGCAGCCGATGCGGAGCGAGCCGGTGCGTTGAATACCCTACAGAAGGCATCGACAAAACTGGAAAACTCGTGAATCATTGGGTCATTCCTCTCCCATAAGGAATTCGCCCAGGCCAAGGCCTTGTCTGAGAGTAGCGATATTAGGAAACCCACCTTTGACCTCTCAGTCGGAAAAGCGTGGGGTATTAATTCAAAGTAAATCCCCACCTGGTTGAGAAACCCACGACACTGACTCGGCTCACCCCCAAAGCGCTGTGGAAGAGGGGCTGAACCAGTCATACCACTGGGCACGGGTGCCGCAGCAGCAGCCGCGGTGGTGGGCGCAACAAGCGGAACAGCAGCGGGGGCGACCACCGGAGTGACAACCAGCCTAATAACACCAGGAGTAAGGTGCGCAGTGCGTGCAAGCAGAGTTTGCAACGCCTGAGCAAACTGATCCAACAGGAGATCCTGTTGATCCAGTCTGGCGACCAATATTGGAAGCAAAGGCGTACCTGCACCGTCAGGGTTCATGGCACTTGTGTAATGTCAGGGCAGGGCTGACGAACGGACAGGTAGGCCTAGTGGCAGGGTAACGCACTGGCTGACGACAACCACCACCAACAGACCGAAGTCCCTCAGGGCGCGGAGTCTAAGTCCCAGGCTGCCCTTCACCAGGGCCCCTGATGGTGGGGATGGACTTGACGCAGCCGGGAACCAGGTCGCGGCCCCCGAGACACCCCGGCTGTGGTAATGGCCACCGCCAATGGCGTATAGCTGGTGAGAATGACAATAACATAGTCAGGCAAGCCGGGTCGACAACCAACGGGACAAAACGGTACAGAACAGTAGACAGAGAATAACAGGTCACGGGCCGGGTTCAGCAACGGAAGGTCAGATCGAAGGAAAACACAGAGAGTGGTCTAGTCACAAGCCGAGTCAAATACCAGAAGAGTCACGAGCGTATACACAGAGCTGTAGCAAGACCAAGACACAAGTGCAAAGAGCATGTGCGGATCACAGGCTTATATGTACTCAGCCACACCCCTCTGGGGGATGGACCTCAGAGACCTGAAGGCATAAAAGATTCCCACCATGCTCAGCAGAAATCCAAGATGGATGCCAGCACATGGAGTAACATAACCTCTGGGAAAAGTTAGGACCTTGACAAGTATATTCCGGGAATTAAATTGTCGCACCTTGTGTACTGTTTATAAGGTATATAATATTATCAAAGCACATAGAACATATATTCTTTTGTAGATTCCCATATCCATGGAGGTTTCAGCTGGCTTTAAAACACTTGGCATATACCATACCGACCTTTGTAACATTCAGCTTAAAGTCCCCACTGTGCTCCAGCTTCAGAATGACTGATTCCTTCCTTGCCTGCCAATGTACTTACATATCCTATCACTGATTATCTGATTGACAGTGTCAGCTGTCAGGCCCACTTCCCCCCTTAACACCAATATACAACTTTCCGTCTACTGCCCATCCTCACCCTTTGCACCTTGCACTGTCATTGCTTTTACATGCCACTTGTCTTCATATGCCAAAACGTCTCACATTTCATTCAGGTCCCACTGCCTTCTGTGTCCCTCATCACTTCATGATCTGGTTCCATTGCCTTCACTACCATTCCCCCCTACCCTTCCAAAGAACTAGGCTAGAGTAGAATATCTCAGAGCATTGAGTACATAGCATACATATTAACAGGTCCATAGTTTTTGTCTTTCTGTGTCCAAATCACTTCTCCAGACTCTGATCCCAATGCCTTATGGGCTCCCAACACATGATCCACTGACACAGCCTCCTCTTCTGCCATCATCCATAGGTTCTGCTTTCTCACCTCTCTGACACATACCGTATAAGGAGCATCCTTGGGTCCATCGTTCTGCTGGATCACATGTCACTAGAAGCATATGTTTGAGCCTGTGGAATGCCAACCAATTGTGAAGTTGCACACCACATTAAACTTGACCACGTCGCTGGCTTTAACATTTAGACTCGGTATACACTACTGTAATGCAATTTTGACTCGATTTGCAGATCGATTATGTAGTGCTACTTTGTTTGCATTTTGGATGTGGTTTGCGTATTCTATGGGGCCAAGTCGCAATGTAAATTGCACCAAAGTACAGGAACCTTTTCCAAAATTGCACCACACAGAGTCACATTGATGTGAATGAGCACCATTGAAAGTACGATTTCTCTTATGCAATTCTGTGAAACTTAAGTCGCATCTGAAATCACACTAGTGTGAACCAGGCCTAACTGTTCATTAATAGGTCAGTGTATATTAACCATTTTTCACATGATGCAAATATTCATTTCCTCCAGACCAGTGGATTATTCCCATCCTTGTTTTAGGGCTCCTTCACACTAGCTCAAGGGTGTCAAACTGGCGGGCCTCCAGCTGTTGTCAAACTACAAGTCCCAGGAGGCACTGCAAGGCTGACAGTTACAAGCATGACTCCCAAAGGCAGAGGGACTTGTAGTTTTCACAACAGCTGGAGGGCCACCAGTTTGACACACCACTGCACTAGTTGTTTGCAAGTTGATAAATCCTCGTGGTTGAGCCACCCCCACTTCTTTTAGCTGTACAACCACATCAGTTCCTGCCCTCGAGAGCTTACAATCTAAGTTTTCTACATGTATACATACAAATAACTAGTTCAGTCAGCAGCCAATTAACCTACCAGCATGTCTTTGGAGTATGGAAGGAAATACTCAGAGGAAACCCACACATGCACAGGGAGAACATGAAAACTCCATGCAGGTTGTTTCCTGGTTGAGATTTAAACAGAGGATCCTAGTGCTTCATAGTGCCATAGAGCTTCCCGGTACATTCCTTAATTTCTCAATAGGTCTTGCTCAACTATGACAGACATTTGTTGCTAGGGAAGGGTTGTAAAAAATAATCCATCCAAGCTGATCAGTATTGTTTTGCCCTGTGAGATGGCCTCAACGCACCATAGGCACATGCATATCTGTTTACTTGATCGGAACATATATTTATACTTCCATCTTTTGTTAAAAGCCTATGGGGGTAAGGCAAATAGACTGTGCACTTTGCAAAGTACAGTTGTACTCTGCAAGTGCAGTTGCTCCTGAGCTTAGTAAATGAGCAGAAGCTCTGTTGACTTTCATCATCCAATCATGTGCAAGAAAAAAATTCTGTTTTTTTTATTTTCATTGCATGTGATTAGGTATTCTATGCAAAGTGAAGCTTTACTACATTTACTAAGCAACTGCACTTGCAGAGTGCAACTGCATTTGCCTTTAGTAAATCAACCCCTATGTGTGCAAGGACACAGGTTTTATTGAGTTGAGTTCAGTGGCTTTGGCAAAAAAAAAAACACCAAAATCTCCTAGGAGCAGCAGTGTGCATGAGGCCCTAATAATCTAACGACTAGATCTTGAATGTCTGTAGCTTGGTAGTGATTTTTTTTTTACTGAAATATATACCACAATAATGATAGCAAAACTTTGAAATTATATAGTCAGCCAGTCAGTTTTATTCACATACTTTTTGTGCTTTTGCTGCTTCTATTCTACTCTTACTGCTCATCACTGTGATTATATGCACCTCCCTGTGAATATTATTTACATTGCATTAACTTAAAGAATTTTTTTTACTTTCAAGTAGAAAATGGAAAGTCATCCATGTGGTGTGCTGCAGCTGACCAGTGGGAATCTCTTTGCTTGGGCCAATCAGCTGCTTCAAATGACCCACCAACACTCTCTAAGACTACTAGGTGACACTCAGGCATTTTCCAGTGAAATGTAACCTAAACTCTGAAAACAATCAAAGGAAAATAGGATTCAACATTTGCAGACATGTATTTTCAGACTATGGGGTTGATTTTACTAAAGCTGGAAAGTGCATAATCTGATGCAACTCTGCATAGAAACCAATCAATTTTCAGGTTTTCTTGTGAAATTTTAATTGAACATGCTGAAGTTAGAAACTGATTGGTTGCCATTAGTGCTGGGACAAGGTCATCCAGCGCCCAGGGCAAATATGCCAAACTGCCCAGCCTTGTAACAGAAAGAAGGCACCCTCATCCTTACAATAAACCATTGTGCCCAGGGCAGCTGCCCTTCCCACCTATCTCCTGTCATGGCCCTGGCTACCATGCACAACAGCACCAGATTTTGCACTCTTCAGTTTTTAGTAAATCTCCCCCTATATGTCTTGACACCATTGACATTGAAGGAAAGTAGGAGTTGTTGGTCAACTGAAAAATCCAACCTGTCCATTAAACTTTTAAAGGTCTACTTAGGGTTTTTTTTTTCTTTGAAGATAATTTAATGTCTATTGGCGGTTTACGATTCCCAGTAAACTGCTTTAAAAGGGGTGTCAGATATGGTTATAAAGGAAATCAAGTGCAGTTCATAGTGGTGTTCTGTAATGGTGTCTGTTATTTCTAGATAACAGGCTTTGAAAAAAATGATCCCATACCTGTATGTTTTTAAACAAGTATGTGCTTCTTTTTTTTTTTAGCTACAGTATAATGGGATGTACAGAATGTAAAGTAACAATCATAAATAGCTTTATAAAACAAACACACACACAGTGGTATAGCCTATTGATTGGCCTACACATGAGCAAAGTTCACCAAGCCAGACTGACAATGACTAATAAAGTGTACAGGTAATCTATGCATACAGTGAGAGCACTGCCTGGCCATTGGAGTTAATCAGTAATTCCAGGAAGTTCAGTAAAGATTCACTCCACTTGCATCAAGACAGTGACAGGGACTGAAGAGTAAGCACAGTGTATGATTTTCTCATTTGGGAAAAATACAAAACCTCAGGAGCTGGTAAAGCATGGGAAAAAAAGAAAAAGGAGGAGAAGGATGGCCTCCCAATATCCAGATGTCCAGATAATTCAGCCTTCAAACAGCAGAGGCTACCAGCCTGGAGACCTCTACTAACTGCCGAGTCTGTGCTGAGCACTTTCTTCATCATTGGACTCTTTTGTCTGGCTGTGGGGATCAGCTGGGTTGTAGCAACGGCCAATGTTAAAGAAATATGGGTGAGTGAAATATTCAAATAATTATTATATAAAGACATAATACAGCCAAAGTGAAAATGGGGCTTGTGAAATGCGTAGGGTTTAGTTCTCTCAAGAATAAGTATAATGCATGAGGTCATCTTCACCTTGCTATATAAAACTCCATTGTTGCTGATAAACTAGTATACAGGGAACACAAGGTGCTGAGCCATGTGAACACGAAGGTCTAGTATTTGAAGTCTTGCGTATTGTAGAGTATGTTGCTGGCTCTCAGACAAGGGAATTTCACAGTAATCACATTTTAGGAAGTCGTAGTACTGCCCAGCAGCACATCTGAACATCTTGTAGAATCAAGGAAGCAATGGATTAATTATAACTCAACCAGTGGGCTTTCTGATGTTCCAATAGTAGAGATATTATTAGATACCCTTAGCACCTCATTAACTGATACCACTTAACACTCACTAAGTGACCAGTACACATTTATTTTTCTGCTAAATTTTTTAGATCATCCAATGACTATAATGGGGTTTTTTTTTTAACCCCTTGGTGCCAGCTCTTTAAGGGGTTTGTGACACCAGGAGGTGGGGTGGGTTTAGGGTTATATGAATGCCATGATTGGCTGTCACAGCGATCCACATGATTGGGACTACTTGTGATCCTGACTTTTCTGCGAGGCACCTCTGCCGAGAGGCTGCATATTTGCATACTGTCAGCGTGAACAGGTTAAATAAAATGAAACTTTGTTCATCTATGCCATCAATTTGGATAAAACAGTAGAGTCCTTAGCGGTAAAGAAATACAAAATGTTTAAAAAATGTGGTCAATTTCAGACTGAATTCACAGAATGTTCTCAATTTCATATGCATTACAGCCAATCTCTTTATGATAGCTAATGCAGGTTCCTACTGGAATTTGCTTTGTCACTGGTAGAACATTTTGCTTTCATGCAACGGCTGGTTCTAGCATCTGTGGGTGCAGTAAAAAAGAAGAGAATTTTTTTTTTTTTTTTAAGTCCG